GGCGCCGCGACGAGATCGAGCGAGTGCTGCCACAGCGGCCGCCCCGTCGCTGACTCGACCATCGCGTCGACTAACGACGGCCCGAAGTTGTCGTACCGGCAGCGGTGCGTCGGGCCGAGGCGCGGCGATGAGTCGTCCGCGCGCTGCCACCAAGCCCGATCGCCGAGCGACGCGGCGGTGTGCTGCGAGCCGCGCCTGCAGGCGCCGCACGCGGCGCCGCACGCGGGCAGCATGTAGGACGGGTTCGCACGGCACTCACCAGCCAAGGCCCACCTGGCGCACGACGGGTGCGTGTCCTCGCAGGCGGACCCCATATCTCCCCACATCTCCCCACATCTCCCCATATCTCCCCACCTGGCGCACGACTGGTGCGTGTCCTCGCAGGTGGAGCCCTCGGCGTCGAGCGCGCCCCGCAGCTGCGCGGGAAGGACCGGCGCGGCCTCCGCGACGGCGGGGTAGGCTGGGCAGACGACGGTGGCAGCGCACTCATACGGCGAGAGGCCGAGGCTGTCGCAGACGGGAGGGAAGGCGGCGTGGTCGTCCATGCCTACGGGAACGCTCCGATTCGAGGATGGCTCCTTCGCCCCGTGCCGCCGCGAAGGTGGCAGGTGTGAGGCGTGCCGGCCACGGACTGCCAGGCGGCGTTGAGACGGTTGTCGAGCGCGGATCGCATCGAGAGAAGGCTGCTGGCGTTCGCGTGCGCCAGCGATGAGCCGGCACACTCCGGCACGAACTGAGACAGGGTGCTGGCCATGGTGAGCGGCGTGCTGCCCCGCTCCACCAGCGCGAGGAAGGCGGCGCTGATGATCATCTTTGAGAGAGACCGGATCGCAATGCCCGTCTCGATGCCGCCGGGCCAGCCACCGACCGACAGCGAGAGAACCTCGGCGACGCTGCCCTCGCCGTCGGCTGCGACGCAGCTGACGGCCGCCGGACCGAGGCTGTGTGGATCGGTGAGGTTGTGCCGGTCGGCGTCGCGATGGAGCTCAAGATGGATCCGCCGGAGCGCCTCCTCGAGTGTTGGCATGGGGGCATCCGTGTGTAGTGTAGAGCTCGCTTTTCTTTTTAAGACGTCGTCGGGCCCTTCCAGGAGACCAAGGCGGTGCCACGGCGCCGCTACCACCCGCCCAAACTTACGCCGGCGGCGGAGCTGCTGGATCTTTCGGAGTTCTCGTCTACCAGCGAGTTCTTACAGCAGGCGCAGCGGCGGTACACCGTCGGCGTACACCATCGCAACTGGCTCGCCCTCGCCGACGCCTTCGTCAGCGAGGCATCCCGGCAGGGCGGCCGCTACAAGACTGGCAGGTGCAAGAACCACAAGTGCTGGCGCGAGGCGATTCGGTTCGTCGCAGTCAGCCAGGAGGGGGCTGGCGCCTTCCTGAATGCGATCCCCATGCGGGATGATATGAAGATGGAGACGTGGGCGATGCGCATT